GGGGTGGGGATGGCAGTGAGGGGGGGGGAGGTCGTTGCAGCTCTATAAATCTTACCACCCAATCCACCGCCATCTCATCCACCATTCCTCGTGGGATGTGGATTAAGGAAAAAAACCCACAAGTACGTCACCAGGAGTCATGACCTTCTGGCGTTGGCAGAGTATACTCAGAAGCGAACGTTCAGATGTTTTACACGTGTGATTAATTATACTCTTTTGTCTTGTCTTCCTTCTTTCACTCATTTGTTTTTCTTTTTCTTTCTTTTTTCTTTGTATTCTTATTCGCAAGCTCCTAATTAACGTATAAAAGTCTATTTCGACATACATTTAAACATCATTAATAATTGTTATGTCCTCAGAGTACCCAGCAGAAGTTACAGTTCAACTTAAAGTTCTCAGTATTGACAATGTCGACGAGGCGTCCATGGTGAGTAGAAATTATTTGGATAACAGTAAGCTTTATCCCCACAATCGGTTCTGCTTGACGTGCTACCCATATCCAGGGTTCGTTCTCTCAGCGGTGCCGCATTTTGGTATGCATGACGCCATGTGACGCGTTTGTGGGTGACTGGCTGGCGCTCTGGTATGGTTTGTTCCTTCTTTACTATCAAACATCTTCTATCCTTATCTTCCCCTTTTTTAGTTTATTACTGTCTTGTAACACCTCTAATCGTCGGCACTTATATGACCTTATTTCTCTGCAAGTGCGGTAAAATTCTTACTATAAACGAAGATGCGTTTATCGTATTTCAAGAATCGAACACTCCAAATGACGTTTATCATAATGATATGTGTACTTGTACATAGAGTCCACAAGGAAATGTGTCTTGCAACCCCTCTTGATTTTGGAGCATGAAAGTAAAGAAAAAGAACGAAAAATGACCACGTTGTGGCCCTTCTCTTTATCTGAATAACAACTGGAATGTATGTTTGAGTTCCTGTTGATACGACATCTCGTTAATCATACAAAGAAACAGCAACAAAAATGAATTGACTCAAACAAAGGACGCACTCTCATTTGACAGTAGCTGCATTCTTCTTCTTAAACTTTTTTAACAGTTGAACATCGTACTTCTAGAATTCCTACAATAAAAAACTTATGTCTCTTACCATTCACCAGGCTGAATTGTCTTGATTCCAAGAGATGTTTCTATTGTCCTGTTCCAATTTTCTGTTAGGTTGACCCCTTCCTCTCTTGCCTTCGACCTTTTCTTCAAGAATATATTTCTCGAGTAAATCATGGCGTATGATACGCCGTAAGTTGCTCAGTTTCTCTTTCATTTCGTTCTGGAAGAGTTTTGGCGTTTCTATAAATATTCTTCTTAGCACTATTTCATTATTTTTTTTATGTCGCCATGATATTCTTAGAGTTTTTCTATTACATTTCATTTGGAAATCTGAATCCCCTTCATTGATGGTCCATGCTTCACTTCGATATATTGCGGTGACGAATATGGTACATCGTATAATTCTTATGTTTATATCGTTGCATTTCTCTTTCTAGATAGATGTCATCCTTTTCCATTTTGATGTTGCAAATGCACGTATCCTTTTAATCTCTGAGGTGTGTTTGCCAATTTTCCTCAATACTGGTTCCGTGATATTCAAAACTACAAACTCTTTCTATTTCTTCCCTCAGTTCGTTTTACCGCCCATTTTTTTTTCATGTGTCTTATGATTTTGGTTTTCTTTACATTTAGGGGTAATTATTTTTGGCTCATTTTTTTCTTGGTGCTGCGGAAAAGAGTGCAATGTCATCTGAATATCTTAAACCCTTAAATTTATCTATTATTTTCCTGGTTGGTCACATTGATCTTTTCTTTAGCCATGTTTTATTCCTCGCATTATTATCAGTGCTTACATGCTGAAGAGATATGGCGATGGCATGCATCCTTGTCTCACTCCTTTTGAAACAGGAAACCATTCTGGTATTCTGCATTCAAGCTGTACAGCTGAGTATTGTCTTTCATAGAGAGAATTAGCCACATCATTAGACGGTTTACACAAACGAATGCATTGCAGTAACCTAATTTGGAGCAATTGTCAATGTATTGTGCTAAAGTGTCAGCCCACTATTAAACGACAAAATACATGTATTTACTTTCCAAGATTACATAGACAGGCATATGTTGAAGATGTAGTGTTCTTATTTAACAATCTTTGTCTTTCTTGTTTATTTTTCCTTTCTTTCTTTCTTTCTTTTTGTGCTTTCTTTTTTACATCGGTTTCTTTCTTTGTTTCCTTCTTTCTTTCTAGATTTCTTTCAAAATGTCTTTTCCTTTTTGATTTTTGGAGGTGTGTTGTTGGGGTGGGGTGGGGTGGGGGGGGGTAGTAATTAAGGAAATCCCACTTATTTTTTAAAGAAAAGGAAGCTTTATCGAATGATAGTACTTAAGAATAACAATCCATTCGTTTACATAATATCATTATAAAGAAGTCGTGCCAGTGTGGTCAGCAAGACTGATCATATATTCAAGGAATGACGTACCACTCCGTCAAACGGTCATGTGTTCCCATCTGTTGTTTATTTGTTTTTTCGGATTTATTTGAGCGTTTTGTTCTTGTTTGTTTTTGTGTTTTTTTCTAAAACAGATATACTGAGTGAAACACTAATAGAAAATAGGCTATTTGAGGAATGGTATTAGCGATCGAATCTCTATTTGTGAAACATGTGAAGATATTGTTATCCTCAGAGTAGAAAACTCAACCCATCTGTTCACCGGCATCTAACAAAGATGATATTACAATCTGCCCCGCGTGCAGCACATTTGGTTGTCAGTATTCAAGTATCGTCCAGTACGGCCTACCTGCTCAGGAAAATAGACGTTTAACATAGCGGAAAACGACATCAATTACGCCTGATAAGCCTCGAGTACAGACACAACCACAGCGCCGAGACGTATGGAGATAGGCCGTAGAGCTTGCTGACGGGGGTTTTATCTTGCATCTGGAATATTTAGTCTTCTTAGTGGTTTTCTTCTCTTTACCGCCTTTTCAAGAAAACATGTTGATATCTCAAGTTTGTTTGAAAATAGGACAGAGGGTTTAGTGTTGGATTTGCATATACCTCGTTTTGATTTTTCGAAAATCCTCACCGTGCTTCAGACTAGAGTCTATACAAACCAATTAGAAGGCGGCGATTTCGGTGTGTGGTCAGGAAATTATACTGCAGTGAAATTGGTTCAAATCTTAATCAAACTCCAAACTGACCGTGTTTGAATCGGAAACTCACAAACACTTTCTTTCGCCGCTGTCAATACGCATATTGTGCGAGCTTTTGTGAACGCGTATCTTTATAGAGGAATAACGATGCCGTTGTTAATGAAACTGTACACTCTATTGTTTTGGGGGTATTTTTTGTTTGTTTTCTGTTTGTGTGTGTTGGGAGGGGGTGTTTGTTTGGGGGGTTTTTTGTTGGGTTTGTTTTTTCGTTCGTTTGTTTTAGTCAAAATCAACGTTCCCTATTATGTGGGCAAAATGCTTGAGAATTATCTCTCGCCCCCCTCCCCCCCAAAAAAAATAATTTTTTAAATCCAAAGTAAAGATGCATAATGCAGGAAGGAAAATCAACAAGGCCCACTAAACATCACACTCAACAATAGCAAAATCAAGCAAGTGAAAGAGTTCAAAGTTCAAATCAAATACTAAGTACTAGGGAAGTGTGTTCACCCAAGACGGAAGGATGGACAGAGAAATAGAAACCAGAATAAAGAAGGACCAATACAGTGACTTACCAATTACTGGCGTCATTACTTTCACATCCTAACATGAACATAGAAAAAATCGCCAACATATTAACATCATCTTCATACCAAAACTGTCCTACTAAACCCGAACTCGGATAATAACCAAGAGCCACCAAAGCAAGGGCATCGCCTGTGAAATGAGATTCCTTTGGAAAAAAAAGTAAACATCACAAGAAGAGACAGGGTAAAAAACGAGACTAACAGAGAGCATCATGTTGCCTTCACTCTCAGCTTACAATACATAATGAATATACCTTGATTTAAATGATTAAGGCATCTGTCAAGGCTACTGCCATGTGGTATTGCAGTGTGAGTATACAACCAGACATAGGAAGGAAATAGGGGAAGGGACATGCCCAGGAAAAGGTGGAGAGAGGGGGGTCAGAGAAACATTAGTCAAGAACAACATACCCATGCTACAGACATTACAACAAATTAGAGAAAGACATAATTTACTCCTCCTTTCGACACCGCAAGGTAATGGAGGCCGGAAAGTTATTTTGAAAAGCGAAAAGTAAAGTAAGAAACTGTTGAGTTTTTGTTGTCTTGTTTGTTTTGTTTGTTTGATATTTGTATCTCTTGATAAACACTCTTGCGTTCTATGCTTGGAATACCTGAACAGCTTGCCGACGATACGCTGTGTCTTCGCTTTAAAAAAAAATCTTCAACAAAAGCAAAAGAAAAAGACAGCTTGTGATGCCTTCGCCCCTGTTTTGACACCGTAGTGGAGGCGTTCAGCTTTTCAGTAGTAGAGAGTGTGAGGCTAACGTAACATGCAGAAACATTCTTACATTATCCAAACAGGAAGCAGGAAACAAACAAGTATAATGTGTATGACGACTTTACGTTTTTTAAATGCTGAATTGCAAAAAATGTTTGCTAATTGCCCCTTCCCTGCCAAAATTTTACTTGATGACGAGGGATACACTTTGCAGTTGTCTTCATCCGTGTGATTGATATATTTTTAAAAAATGTTGTTAAATTGTCCCTCATCCCTACTAGATCTGCATCTTATTTTAAGATTTGTACCCAAATCCTAAAATTCCGGTGGCCAAGCTATTTTGAAAACACCTTTGGTCTCTGATTCTGAGGTAGTAGTGCAACACGTAATGGATTTCCGTAATGTAAATAATTGAAAGTGCGCAGACTATTAATCTTTCGATATCGAGAGAAAACCCTACAGAAAAACAATTATTCGTTTTGTATAACCCCTCCCTATGTCATGGTTATTTTGGCACAAGAATTTATTGTCAGTTTTTACACAGCCGAGCTCAGCAAACGCCAACCTTGAACTTGACCTTGTAGCATAGTAACCTTTCGAAGGATTCAGGTAACAAAGCATTGTCGCTACAAAGGCTGCAGTCAAGCAATAAAGTGACTGGATGGCAAAACAGAATTTCGTTGATGTTTCTTTGATATTCATTTGTCTGGAGAAGTCACTCTGACTCTATATTTGTCACACCGAGGCAAATTTCACAGACAGAACGCTTCCATTTGGATGAGAGAAAGAGAGGGAGAGATAGATAGAGAGAGAGAGAGA